AGAAGATACTTGGATCCCACCTAAAAATATAATAACCAAAATAAAAAACTCATTTTGGGGCTTAATAGCATCAATAGAATAAAAATTACAGAGGAAAGAGCCTGTGAATTTGAAACTAGATCGGTATAGCTTATCCAATCTGAGCAACAGAGGAAAACTATATTAAAAAATTAGCAGAGCCTCAGGGGGCCATATCAAAAGGTCTAGTATTCATCTTACTGGAGTTCCAGAAGAAGAGGGGAAAAAGTGCAGTACAGAAAAAATACTTGAGGAAAAATAGCTAAGAACTTCTTAAGTTTGATGAAAGATAATCATCTACGAACTCACAAAGTTCAGCAAATCCCAAACAAAATATACCAAACGAAACCCATGACATGACACTTCATAATCATACTGCTGAAAATTAAAGAAAAAAATACCGAAAGCAGAGTAAAAATGAAATATTTCTTATAGAAGAACTATGATTTGAATAGCAGTGGTTTTCTCATCAGAAATTATGGAGGACAAAAGGAAGTGAAACAAAAATTTTAATGTGCTAAATGAAATGTCACCATAGAATTCTATATCCAGAAGAAACACCCTTGAGCAATGAAGGTGAAATATATTCTCAGATGAAGACAAGCTAAAAGAATACATTGCCAGTAGACCTGTTCTAAAAGAATTACTAAAGAAAATTCTTCAGAGTGAGGGGAAATGATACCAAAAGGAAACTGGGAACTTCGGGAGTGAAAGAAGAGCAACAGAAATGGTAAATATTTGGGTAAATATAATAGACCATTCTTCTATTCCGAGTTGTTTCAAATGTTTGATGTTTGAAAGCAACAATTATGATATTGTCTCATAGGATTTTCTATGTATATATATCAATAATATATACATCATAAAGCAGGCAGATTAAAGGGACTGATACACTTGTGAGGTTTCTACACTGAATTGGTAAAACTCCAATTATAAATGCACTGTGAAAGTTAAATACTTATCCTGTAATCCCTATAGCAACCATACATGTACATAAAAACTATACAGTTTTTTTAAAAAGCCCACAATAGATAAAATGGATACTGGAAAAAAATTCAAATAACCCAAAAGAAGGCAGGGAAGGGGAAAGAGAGGGACAGAAAAACGAGGAAGCAAGTAGAAAACAAATAACAAAATGGTAAATCTAAGTTCAAATATATTCATTATTGCCTTAAATGTAGAAAGTTCAAATGTACCAATTAAAACAGAGTTTCTTGGAATGGATGTTTTTAAATGGCTCAACTATATGCTATCTTGGAGAAGGAAATGGCAACCCATCCCAGTATTCTTGCCTGGAGAACTCCATGGACAGAGGAGCCTGGTGGGCTACAGTCCCTGGGGTTGCAAAGAGCTGTACATGCCTGAGCACCTGAGCAACTAACACAACACTATATGCTGTGTACAAATAAAGCTCATTTCAAATATAATGATATAGCTAGGTTAAAAGAAAAAGGATGGAAAAAAATATAACAGGCGAACACTACTCAAAAGAAACCCCAGTGGCCATTTTCATATCAGACAAGTTGTTATCTGAAGAAATAATTGGGCTTCCCTGGTGGCTCAGCAGTCAAGAATCCACCTGCCAAGCAGGAGACACGGGTTCAATCCTTGGGTCAGGAAGATCCCCTGGAGAAGGAAATGGCAACCCACTCCAGTACTCTTGCCTGGGAAATCCCATGGACAGAGTTAGCCTGGCAGGCTATAGTCCATGGAGTCGCAAAATAGTCAGACACGACTGAGCGACTAAACAACAATATGTGCTGTCTACAAAAAAAGCTCATTTTAAATATAATGATATAGCTAGTTTAAAAGTAAAAGAATGAAAAATAGATAACAGGTAAACACTACCCCAAAGAAATCCCAGTGTCCATATTCGTATCAGACAAACTATCATTCAATGAAATAATAGCTAAGAACTGTGACACCTCAGAGTAAAGAAATTACCCAGGATTAAGAGGGGCATTACATAATGATAAAAAGGTAAATTCACCAAGAATATATAATAATCCTCAATGTGTATATACCTAATAGAATAGTTTCAAAACACGTGAAGCAAAACTGATAGAACTGAAAAGAAAAACAGGTATTTCCACAATTATAATTAGAGTATCAACACTCTTTTCTCAGTAATTTATATAAATACTAGACAAAAAATTAGTAAGCATAACGAACTCAACCAAATGGACTTAATTGCTGTTTATAGACTACTTCATCCAACAACAGCAAAATAAATATATTTTTAAGTGTGCATGGAAAAACTAATCAGCTTTCTCGATCCTCGGCAGATGAAATCAGACCCCAGGCCCGGCGTCCCGTGTGCCGAGGGGACGGCTGGCCTGGCGGTGTGTGGGGCCGGGCCCCTGCGAACAGAGGTCCGAGGCCAGCACCTCTCTCTAAGGCCTATTACCACAAGCCTTGATCAACCTGTGGATGAAATGGAAAATAAAAGAGTTCCTGGATCTCATGCCTGGTGCTCCTCCTGCCTACAACTGCCATTTGAATTCATCAGATCCAAATTCTGATGCCCCTCCAGAATACAATTCCCATTTTGTACCTGGGCCCCCTGGACCAGCTGTCCCTCCAAATGCATACACCCCAGGAGACTTGCCTGTGGGATACTACAGCCCATAGCAACTCAGGACCCTTCTTTCATACCTGCCAACTGGTGGCACCCATCCTATACAGTACCAGCCTGATTGGTACCCTTCGCCAATTGGGCTGCATACATGTTCTTCAGCATTTTGAGCCTCTAGAAGTTGGAGGTGCAGTGTCCTCCTGGCATGACCGTTGGCTGAACACTGGAACCTGTGAAGGGTGGTGTACAGCCTCCAAAACTAGAAGAAAGAAGATACGATAGGAGTGCTTGGGCCATGTTCTACCTATGGCTGTGGTTCAGATTCTGTTTTTGAGTACCTGCCTGGAAATGGATATCAGGGAGAGATTGTGCCATTTTCTTCACTGATTGCTTTATAACATTCTAAGAGAGAATGTGTTCATATTTTTTGCATTTTTAAGAGGTCATTTTATAATCAGTTGAGAGAACAGGAGTGAGAAACATGTTATCTTTATCCTGACAAAGCTGTTGAGAGGACATGGCTGTGTTCTTTGGGAACACAGTAAGTCCCCTACATGCAAACCTTCATGTCGTGAACTTTCAAAGATGTGAACATGCATCTGGTTCCTGTGCTCTCCATGCCAAGTATGAGTGAAATTGCAGCTTGCCCTCTGTCTCCTATTGCTGATGACCCTTCAGCTCTACCACCTCCTGCCTCCTCTCCTTCAGTTAGTAACTCTTCTTGCCTGTTCACTTGATGGCAGCCCCTATACACGCCAACTGTTATACTGACTACTGTACTTTTTGTGGTACTGTACTGTAAAATTAAAATGTTTTCTTGAAAAAAACTACTCAGATGTACACAGAAAGGATAATCAAGATAGGCCATATGTTGGGTTATAAAATTAACCGTAACAAACTTTAAAGTTGGCGTCAATCATGATGGATGGCAACACCAACTGGATGGGCATGAGTTGGTGATGGACATGGAAGCCTGTCGTGCGGCAATCCATGGGGTCACAGAGAGTTGGACACGATTGACTGAACTGAACTGAACTGAAACTTAAAAGAATTTAAATCATGCAAAGTATATTTTCTGACCATAATGGAATTAGATTAGAAACCAAAACCAAAAAGATAACAGGAAAATCTTCAAATATTTAGATAGTAAACAACATGCTTCTAAATAATCAGAAAGTCAAAGAGTGTCAGGTGAAATTATAAAATATTTTTACTGAACAAAAATAATACAGCGAATCAAAGATTTTAGAATGCAGTGCTTAGAGGGAAATTTATAGCATTAAATGCTTATATTAGAAATAAAGAAGAAAAGTCTCAAATAAATAAACTAAGCTTTCACTTTAAGAAACCAGAGATGAACAAACTAAACCCAAGGCAAGTAGAAGGAAGGAAACAGTAAAGATAAGAGCAGGAATCAATGGAATTGAAAACAGAGAAAAGCAAGATAAAAAGCTAGTTCTTTGAAAAGAGCAATAAAATTGATCTACTCCTAGCAAGACCAACAAAAAGAAAAAAGAAGATACAAATTACCACAATCAGTAATGAAAGGGATTATATGCTTTTTAAAAATAGTATTATTTATTTATTTATTTTTGGCTGTGCTGAGTCTTTGTTGCCGCGCGGGCTTTTCTCTATTAATGGTTGCAGTGAGTGAGGGCCGCTCTCTAGTTGTGGGGCTCGGGCTTGCTGTGGTGGTTTCTCTCGTTGCAGAGCAAGGGCTTTAAGGCACATGGGCTTCAGTAGTTGCAGCACATGGGCTCAGCAGTTGTGGCTCCCGGGCTCTAGAGGACAGATTCAATACTTGTGGGCTTAGTTTCTCTGTGGCACGTGGGATCCTCCTGGATCCAGGATTGAACCTGTGTCTCCGACATTGGCAGGAAGATTCTTTATCACTGACCCCCCCAGGGAAGCCTGGGATTATACACTTTTAAAAGAGAATAAAAATTGCAGACATTTAAAAGCTAGTAAGGGAAGACTATGAACAACTCTATGCACATACATTTGATGACTCAGATGAAATGGACTCATTTCTTGAAAACCACAAAACTCACTCAAGATGAAATAGATAACCTCAATATTTCCATAACTATTAAGGACATTGATTGAAAGGAGTCTCCTCTCCCAAATGTTTTAGCTTACATACTGTACTATTCCATTTGTATCACATTTTCAAAAAGACAAAAAACTATAGTGATAAAAAATGAGTGGTTGCCAGGGGTTAGTTAGGGATGAGGGTAGGGTGGGGAATATGACTACAAAGCAATAGCATGAGGGAAATTTCTGGGGTTATGGAACTGTTCTGCATTCCATTTATGAATCTATACATGTGTTAAAATGAACTGTATACACAAAAAGTCAATTTTACTGTATGTTTGCTTAAAACAATTTTTTTCCCCCATATAATTAGGACTCCTTGAGCAAATGGCTGATTCCAGAGCTGCGGCACAGGAGGTACAAGATGAGCCTGGAACATCTTCTTGTGCTATAAAGTAAGGAATTACTCAAAATAAAAATGGGCACCTGTCTTGAGGGCAAATGAGCTAACTTGAAGGAGTTCCTACTAACCATATCTTGAAATTTTAGCACCAAAATAATTAAAGATGGTAATAATTATAAACCATTAAAAATAGAAATTTATGAATCTCAACTTATAGCAAATAAATACATATATTTCTACATGCATATGTACATACTGTTGCTTATAATAGAATGTCTAATGCTTTTGGCTAAATATAGAGGGAATGCTGAGGTTGTGAAGTCCTATTTTGCAGTCGGCATAACAAAGATGGACTCAGGCAAGACTATCAGTGAGTATTAAATCTAGGAGTAAATCTTTATGAGGTACAGGATATTTGCATGATCTTACAGTGTGTCCCATAGATGGTTACCAGGGAAAAATTAGTAATTTCTCAGTGGAGAAATCAAACAATTTGACCTGGTGATTACAACATCACCAATAAGGGTTAGATGGCTATTGTGTGCCTTACGTGTATGCATGCTAAGTCACTTCAGTTGTGTCTGACTCTTTTGTGACCCTACAGACTGTAGAGCGCTAGGCTCCTCTGTCCATGGAGTTCTCCAGGCAAGAATATTAGAATGGGTTGCCATTCCCTTATCCAGAGGCTCTTCCCAACCCAGGGATTGAACCTGGATCTCCAGGTTCGATTACAGGCAGACTCTACAGTCCGAGCCTAGAAAATATTCAGCATATATATTTGTATATAAATAATTCCTACTCAATAATAAAAAGACAAACAAGCCCAATTGAAAAAGGGGGAAAAAATGAGACAAGTGCTTCATAAAGGAAAATGTACAGGTGGACAATTAACATATGAAAAAATTAACATCATTATGCATCAAGAAAACAAACCACAATGAGATACCATTTTACACCCACTAGAATAGCAGCAACAAAAAACAAGAAAGAAAAACTGTCATTTCCAAGTGCTGGTGAGGATGTGCAGCAAACAGAACTTTCATAAATTGCTGATGGGAATGTAAAATGATTTAACTGAATTCTGTCTCTACCGAAAAAAAAAAAACCAACCTGGATTGCCAGTGTTCATGAAAATGTAAACTAGCCAGATATGCTGTAAAGAGCACTGGGAAAGAAATCAAAAGCTCCCAAGAATAGTTCACAATTCTGCCACTACTGCTGAGTAAATAACTTAGTTGCTCTGGGTTGAGGGGTTTTTTAATATGTAAAATGAAAGATATACACTAAATTATCTCCATGAGCTCTTCCAATAATAAAGTTCCATGAGGTAGTTGTTGTTCAGTTGCTAAGTCATGTCCAAGTCTTTGTAACCCCATGGACTGCAACATGTCCTTCACCATCTCCCAGAGTTTGCTCAAACTCATGTCCATTGAATTGGTGATTTCAAATTCAGTGGGATGGCTGTGCAGGTCAGAAAAGAAAGATAACTTGCAAAGGAAAGAAAATTCTTTTGTGTGCATCACACCCTGTACTAATTACTTTACAAAGCTATCTCATTTATGATGTAAGTTTACTATTCCCATTTTTTAAATTTAAGTATTTATATAGAGGAGAAATTGAGGCTCACAGAGTCTACGTGATTTGGAAGCCCATATTCCTTTCACATCCCATCTCATCTTTGTCTAGGGAGTTAAATTCTTCTATGGATTTTTCTTATTCCTTCCACAGATGTTTCCTTGGCCACCCTGATCCAGGGTGATTTCCTCTTTTTCAGAGTTTCTCTGGTACCTATCACCCATACTTCCGATTTCATACCTATAACTTTATGCAGGGTTGGTTATATTTGATTCACTTATTAATCTGTAAGCATTTATTGAACAGCCACCATAAAGCTCTGCTAGGCAGTGGGGATCCACAAATAAATAAGACACAGTTCCTGCCCTCAAGAGTTAAAATTTAGTGAAGGAGACAATCAGCAATCTATTAACACCCTGATCTATTTTAAGAGTAAATCACTTTCTCTACAAAACAAACAGACATACCACTGATGAGTCTGAAAGCCGCAAGACTACGTGTTAAGGGAAAGAGGAATTTTTAATTACTGATTTACAATAGCAAATATTCCATAAGCATTGAGGGCAAAACAAAGAGGCGGTAATAATTGACTGAGAAACTTAAATTCGAAGCAGTAGCACTTTTCCCAGCCAGAGGGTATGGATGTGAGCGAAGCTCCCAGCTCCGTGGCAGTCCAGAATGACTGGTAGCACACTGCTGTCTTCTTAACACCTTATCTATTGTTGATAACTAGGCATGGCTTTAGGAACAAGACTATCTATTCCAGCCAATGTTATAGCCAGTTACACCACTGACAATGTATTTCTAAGGTAGTCTTCTTGAGTGCAATGACAGTTTTCTGGCAAATGGGGCAAGTCCACAGATAAAAATTATGTGAGCAAAGTCTGAAACATAGAAAAGATTCTCCTCTGCTTTGGTTTCTTCCTGGTTCTTGTAGTCAGTCTGGATCTTTCTCTCTAGAAATGTTAAGTTATATTTTTTTCCTTCAGTGTCATACTCTGGGATACTGAGTTAATTTATTCCAATTTAATTTAATGAGCACTTTCAATATGCAAAGCAATATGGTTGTTACTTAAAGGAAATAAACATGAATAAGAAAGGATTCCTTCAGAGTTGAGAGTCATGTAAATAATTATCTAGGCTATCAGTCCGTTCAGTCGCTCAGTCGTATCCGACTCTTAGTGACCCCATGAATCACAGCACACCAGGCCTCCCTGTCCATCACCAACTCCCAGAATTTACTCAGATTCATGTCCATCGAGTCAGTGATGCCATCCAGCCATCTCATCCTCTGTCGTCCCCTTCTCACCCTGCCCCCAATCCCTCCCAGCATCAGGGTCTTTTCCAATGAATCAACTCTTCGCATAAGGTGGCCAAAGTATTGGAGTTTCAGCTTCAGCATCAGTCCTTCCAATGAACACCCAGGACTGATCTCCTTTAGGATGGACTGGTTGGATCTCCTTGCAGTCCAAGGGACTCTCAAGAGTCTTCTCCAACACCACAGTTCAAAAGCATCAATTCTTCAGCACTCAGCTTTCTTCACAGTCCAACTCTCACATCCATACATGACCACTGGAAAAACCATAGCCTTGACTAGATGGACCTTTGTTGGTAAAGTAATGTCTCTGCTTTTTAATATGCTGTCTAGGTTGGTCATAACTTTCCTCCCAAGGAGTAAGCATCTTTTAATTTCATGGCTGCAATTACCATCTGCAGTGATTTTGGAGCCCCAAAAGACAAAGTCTGACACTGTTTCCACTGTTTCCCCATCTATTTGCCATGAAGTAATGGGACCAGATGCCATGATCTTAGTTTTCTGAATGTTGAGCTTTAAGCCAACTTTTTCACTCTCCTTTTTCACTTTCATCAAGAGGCTCTTTAGTTCTTCTTCACTTTCTGCCATAAGGGTGGTGTCATCTGCATATCTGAGGTTATTGATATTTCTCCTGGCAATCTTTATTCCAGCTTGTGCTTCTTCCAGCCCAGCATTTCTCATGATGTACTCTGCATATAAGTTAAATAAGCAGGGTGACAATATACAGCCTTGATGTATTCCTTTTCCTATTTGGATCCAGTCTGTTGTTCCATGTCCAGTTCTAACTGTCAAGAGGCAGGTCAGGTGGTCTGGTATTCCCATCTCTTTCAGAATTTTCCACAGTTTATTGTGATCCACACAGTCAAAGGCTTTGGCATGGTCAGTGAAGCAGAAATCGATGTTTTTCTGGAACTCTCTTGCTAGACCAGGACTCCTCATTAGTATAGCCCAGCCCAGAACCTTGGACATAGCAGTGATGTTAATCTTAAGGGGTAGAATGTACTAGACCATGTGCCAGATACATGTTTACTAATAGGGTTTTCCCAGAAATGAACCTGCAAGTGTTCTCTGAAGTGGGACTGAATTCAGACACAGGATCTATTGGCCTTAGCATTGTGACCTAGGATCTAAGAAAAGAGACAAATCCCTGTGATTTCGTATTACCCAACCTCTTTCCCAGAGGTACCCCTGAAGTACCAACCCAAACCTCATCCTGCTAGCTAAGCAAGAGGTGATGCAGGTGAATAGATTCTCTCTAAAATGCAAAGGGAACTGAAATTCCCTTTCAACTAAGGGAACTGAAATTCATTGAGCATCTACCATGTATTGATGTTACACATATATCTCATTTACAGTTTATGTTATCACTCGAGAATATCATTGCCCCCATTTTATATCTGAGGAAATTGGGGCCTCAAGAGGTTAAATAACTTGCCCAAGGTCACAAAGCTAGTAAGTAGTGTTGATTCAACTTGGAGAATGGCACTGGATGGAGACATAATTCAGAAATCTGCTGAGTCCTGGCTCTGCCAGGAATCTGTCATGGCTAAGTGATATTTCAAATTATCAGACTGCTCCAAATCCATAGATAGGAGGCCCCCACATAGCACACTCTACTCCAGACAACATCTGAAAGTCAGTTTCACCAAATCCTTTTGGTCTCCAAAATCCAGTTTTTTTGCACCTTAATTTTAGGGTACTTCCAGATTAGATATGTGATAGCTCAGTTGCCATAAAGCAAAAGAACTCACCCCAGAGAAGCTCCTGCTGAGTTGGCAATGCTCTGGGAGGTGGAGATCCTTGAGGGAGGGGGAAGCCAGGGAGCAGGAGACTATAGAGGCCCATTAGCCCTGAAAGCACTGAAGACCCAGGAGGCCAGGCAAAGTGGTCAGAGTGGCCCCACAGCTGGTGGTCATTAACAGCTCAGGGCTGCATAAAAAGCAGCGGGAAGGCAGGGGATGGTTTCGGTTAGCCTGCCAAAGTTACTGAACCAAATCCTGGACCCTCAGTTCCCTGACCCTTCCCATTCAGCAATTTCCACAGGTAAGTCCAAAGGGGAACTGCTTTAGGAATCCAGTAATTTAATTCTGCTTTGCTGATATAAGGATATGGAAAGGTTGTTGCTGAACCATGAAAGTAGCTGGGATTCTTGGCCTCCAGAG